TCTATCTATCTATCTATCTATCTATCTATCTATCTATCTGTCTGTCTGTCTGTCTGTCTGTCTGTCTGTCTATCTATCTATCTATCTATCTATTCCCCATCACCAACGCAAAAAGATAAGTCCTCATAAGAACATACTCGGAAGCTTATGATGTTCCTACGACAAGGTCACATTTTGTTTATTACTTTCACTTTCAGAAATATGAATGTAGATAAGTTACAAGCAGAAATCCATACAATAAAATCGTTCATTTCTTCTTGGCCAAAAGTTCAGTCAATAACTTGAGATAAAATGGGCATACTTCCAGTACTTCTAGATATGCCAAAATATTGTTAATCTGAATATTGGGTCTGTAGTTAAAAGTAATGACAGAAGAAAGTTACTATTCGTGGCCCTCTGCTAAAAATGCAGAAATACTGATAAGCGTAAAGTACACTTAACCTCAATATTTTTAAACCTTTTTTTTAATTACAAAACTAGTGAGCAGCACTTTACAAACTGAAGTTTTAAAACTTGTTTTTTCTTCCATGCATTTCGTCTAACTATCATAGACTACTTCAGCAAGCTTTACAAACATGCATTAAACAACTGTATTTAAGCCATACTAGAGGCTATTTCCACAAAGTTTTCGCCGGACAGGAGAAAATCCGGCCAAACACTTGTGGTTTGTGTTCATCAATAGTTACTACTAGATAGTTCGATGTAACGCGACGGGGAATAAGCTTAAATAATTTTGACAACTCAGTTCAATTCGCAGACTTCTTCTCACTAGTTCAGTATTTAAAAAAGTTTTAAAAAAGTTTTAAAAAAAGTGTTAAAAAAGTTTTAAAAAGTTTAAAAAACCTTTAAAAAGTTTTCAAGTTAAGCTTACACAGCAAACTCAAAACCCCGTCCCAACGAGGTATTCCGCTAGGGATTCCACCATCTGGTTGCAATTTCCAGCTCCACCAGCACCTTCATCATAGCCACCCAGAATAAGAGCTTTGTTGGTCAAACAAGCACAGAATCCTCCCTTCTCTTTCATTTTCAAGTACGCCGCTTTCTTCTCTGTGTCGTTTCGTAGCATCATGTATTTGGTTCCCGCTATGTTCTTGCCCGCAACACTTCCATCCTTTAAGCTCTTTATAATATCCAGTGCTTCTTGTTTGGACACCTATCGCAAAAAAGATTCCTAATTGTGAGTTCTTAGCTATGTTAACAAGTTTTTTTTATACACTTAGAAGTCAAGAAGAAATCTTAAAAGTTTATCTCCTTACTGAAAATCCAGCACTACTAGCCCATGGCGAGCCGTCTAAGCCAAAAATACAGGCCTTTTGAACTTTTCCACTTCCCACAAGATTGCTGTCCACGTAGGTTTGCCAAGACATGTTTAACTCGACAAAAATAATTCTAGTGCAAGTCAAACTTGGTAAACTTATCTTCTTGAAATGCTGCGGGGAAACAAAATTGCGCCGGAGAAAAGAGCTGACGTTTACATGGCTGATGACGTAATTGAAACTCAGATTCACGTGGAACCCGGATGGCAGGGAAGATCTTAGCACACTGACGGGAAAAAGAAATTAAAAAAGCACAAAACTATCAATCAATCTAACTATCAATAGGACCGACTCAAGGTCATTAATAATTTTAGCTTTAGCTTACCTGAAATTTCCAAGATCACCTTTTATCCAAATCGAAATTTTTTTTTCGCAGTTCATTGGGTGATATATAGAATCAGATGAGAAAATAAAAATTTTGACGTTATGGGCACTTTAATAGTGAACTTAAATCAGTCCAGTTGATGGTTCTAATTTTTTAGACATTTTCTTTTTCCCGTTGATTTGATAGGTGGTTGGTAGGGGGGCCAGTGTCTTGTCGAAACCCATTTTCCCACTTACTTATTTTTGCATGAAGGATAAAGAAGAAGAAAGAAATTTTAGTATGCGGACCGGGAGTTGAACCCACAAAATTTGATTCAGGATAAATTAATTTATCCACTGCACCATTGGGGCGCTGGCTGGAAGAACTCGAACTTTTTTGCTATACATACAAGCCTAAATATATGTAATACGGTGTCACCCAAACCACAAAATGAAAGCGGACCGATGGCAAACCCGAGTAAAACTAGCACAAGTAAACCTGAGTGGAACTATAAATCGCAAGCAAACCGGAGACGCAGTGAGCTAACCCGGTCTCTTTATTCATTGTTACTTAATATCAAAAGGCACGGAATCTCTAACTTAACTCCACTCACTGTTATGTAAGTATTTCCGGATGGTAGACTTAAAATTCACTTTCGAAACTTTTCCATTTTTGGGGGGCCTGTTATACGACGCTTGCTTCTTTTAAAAATAAATACATGTTACTTAATACAGCCAACAGTGAGGAGTTTGATTCATGTCTTACTTTCCAGCGTTAATAAATAAGACCAACTGCCATGACAGTCTCTCTTCTCATCATGCACCAACTTTGCACTTCGATTCTACTAAACAAAGTCAAACAACCTTAGCTTCGCATTAAGTCTTCTTTAATCTTAGCTAATTGACGTTTTTCGCTTTCAGGTAAACTGACGGTAAATTTGTTTTTGAGTCACGTTAAATTAAAGAATCCTTGATTGAAAGAAGCTAAAATTATTTTTCATGAAAGTAGTTTGTGCGACAGTGCAATGACTCCCATCGAGTACTTGATTGCCGTGAGCGTGAAATCGTACAAGTTTACGCTACGCTTGTGCAAACTGTACACGATTTAGTGGACATAATTATGGCTCAGTGGATTTGTCGTGCTTACTTACTCCGGGGGGGGGGGACTCCCATCTAAATTGGGCGGGGGTGCTCATCGTATCTTCTAGGGGTTAGTACCCTGTCCTGTGCTTTGGCCTGTGATTTGCCCTAGGAGAGACCCTCCTCCTTCAGTTTCTTCATCACCGTCCTCCGTCAGGTAGTCTTTGGCCTCAATGCCTCTCTTTTTCCTCGCAGTTAGAGTCCATCTCAAGGGAACTTTCGGTATCCTTTCATTGCGCATGCTGAGTATATGACCGAGCCATTGTCACCTGCGATTTTTAATCTCAAGAGACATATTTCTACTCCCTGTCTTCCTATACAGTTCCTCACTGGAGATCTTGTTAGGCCGGTAAATGTTGCAGATCCAACGTAGGCAGCTGTTATGGAAGACGTCGACCTTTCTCATATCTTCTTTCATTATTCTCCAGAACTCAAAGCCTTAGCCATACAAGAGGACGGCGGTCAAGGTTCCAAAGGAATAAAGGATGGTTTTGTTTTATAATCTAAATTGATGCTTAACCGACAAGCCAACGTCTTAGTTAGCCTAACTTGGGCCATGTGTTTGAATCTTGATTTGTTCTCAGTCATCTCTCACAAGACAATACGTAATGAGAATAAGTCGGAAGGAGGAAACAATGGAGAATGCCACCATCCCTCACGTCTTATAATTTTCTTATCATAGAGACTAGAGACTAGTCAGCCCTCAACTCTGCAATTTCAGACGTTAAAAGGCAAGGGAAAGGAGCTTCTTTTCCATTAATAACTTATAAAAAGAAACTGAAATAGTACAGCTTCTACCAAACTTCTATTTCTTAAGATAGTTTTATTAACTTACTGTTAATTTGTCAACCTCACTTAAGTGAGCTTGAGCCATTTTGGAAGACAAGCAATTCTGTAGATTATTATTTTTTTGTCAGTGTCTGCTTGTTCTTCAAAATTGCCTTAATTAATATAAAGATAGAAGGTAACTGCATTGTCATTTATTGTTGGGTGTTGATCATGTTAAAATTAAACTTCCAAGGCTAACAATCCACTGCAAATGTCCATTTGTTGTTTCCATTGTAATATAATGCTTCTGAAGTTCCAGACTCCTTCGCCTTGCAAACATGATTTCACGAGCTTGTTCCTTCATTTCCTTCCTCAGCACTATTCTTGCTGCTGTAATGCCTATATTCTGGTTTTAATTCCCACATGTTCTTGTGAGGGTTTTTTGTGTTATAATGACCGATTTCTTTCAATATACTCTTCAGATATGCCTAAAATAGTAACAACAAAAACGAAACACAATTAAAACAAATTGACAAAGATATATACATTCATTATATACACAAAAGTGTGTTACTCTAAAATACACCACTCGTGAAATTCATACATAACTACATCCAGGACTGAGCGGCATATTTCAATATCCTCGTATATTTGTGATGTTGTTTCCCACTTTTCCATGATTCTTTGCTCAAACAGTCAGTCTGCATATCTAATAAAAGAGAATTACACGGTGGCTAGAAGATATGAGTTTTATTTTCTTGTGTTTCTGTGATTGTTTATATAATATTAATTTTACCACTCAAAAATAAAGTTCATATCTTTGTGCTGCTGTGTAATGTCCTCTATGTATATAAGCAGCAGTACAGAAGTCTCACCACTGGTTGTTTTGTAATAGTAATGAGGTCCTTCAGGTTGTAATACTGATGTCTTTCAAATGCACTGAAGAGCAATGCTTTTACAACATCCTCATCTTCCCGAGCCCTCTTGCCTTCTTCTTTCTTTTTCCTCTCATGCTCAATCTACAAACAAAATAGATGTCATTCATTTTGAAAATGAAACTTGGTATTACGACAGACTAAGCTTGTATTAGCACATGTACATCTGTAGTCCTGGCTGCCTGCCCTTTTTAACTCTCTAGTTATTTCAGATAGCCAGGCCCCTAATTCCATTAATTAATATATTTAACTAATCTTTGTAAAATATTTCTGTGAGACCAAGGGGAAATAAGGATTGTATGTTGTGTTGAAAGGTTACCCCTACTGAGCAAAAAGCTACCAGTAGCTCAGCACTTCAAAAAAGTTATCTTACAAAAATGCTATGCAATCTATTCCAGAAACTATACATGTAACTGAAATAGATGCTGTAATCAAAGACTTGCTTCAACATTACTCCTTTGGGTACTTACATTCATTTTGTGGTCACTCACTGGTCGGTATTTAATCACCCGATCAACCTGTATGGATTGTCGACCTGCTTTGCTGCTGTTGACAATTATCCGCCTGTAGAAATGAAAAATAAATTACAACATACTACATGATCTCCTGATGCGTCACCAAGACAGACTGGGTACAAGCAAACATGATGACATAGTGCATTCAGCAGGACTGCACATTGGCAGTTGTCAGGTTGTAGTGGTGATTTAAAACAGACCAGCCAAAAGTTGAGGCTTAATCATCCAATCTGTGACTACAGATGTACATTGTATGATACAAAGGAGTTGCAAGTGATGTAAGAGAGAAGTGCTGTGAGAGTAAAGTGTCTTGGAAAGAACACAACACAATACTAAATCTATTATATTTCATTTTTTCACAAATTGAATTTTAGCAACAAAATCCAAGTCAAAATAAAGGTTATGATTACATGTACCGGTACATGATAACTCTGGTCAGCATTTAAACTCATTAGCATTAAATTTTAATTCTTTACCAAAGGAAGCTTACTTTTTCAATTTCAAATAGTCAGCACTGGGTTGTACAGGCCGACAGTCTGCCCTCTGAACTACAACCCCTTCAATAGTCACCTGAGCTGTTTAAAAAAAAAAAGAAAAATAGTTTTTACATGAATAAACTGCTTCATACAATCAACATTTCTATCAGGACAGAAAATAATTATTTAACATTCATTTTTCTGATATCTGGAAATTTTAAAGAAACAGTACACCCAGTTTTGAATAATGGCGACACTTTTTCACATTATTAGTTGACAATGAGTTGGTAGGTTGAGGGAACTTTATAGACTGTAACTCACGTTTTGAAGCCTTTTCTTCAGTGTCATCTTCTACAGAGGCTACAGTAGACAAATTCCTTTCAGTAATGTTTAAAGTAAACCATTTTTTAAATAAAGGAAAATTCACAACTACAGTGAAACAAAAAAAGTACTGCAAACAGGCATATTCAAATTACCTATGACTGGGAAGTCTTTTGAGAGTAATGTGCTACTCAAGGACATCATAAGGACATATGTGTACTCAAGGACTCAAGGACATACAGTCAGGGCCTCAGACAGGGTTAAAATTTTCAGAGTCCAGCACAACAAGCTTTTACAAGATTTATTACTGTGCCACTTACAAGAGTCCCTTACTTAACAGCTGTTTTCTGAGATGCATGTAGCATAAATCTACAAGCCAAAGTGTATTCTCTGGTTCATGACACGTTATTGTTACAGAAACAGACTAAGCAATAGCTGGGTCATTTTTCAACTCTACACAGAGCAATCTGGATCTCCTTAAAACATTTGAAATCAATTTCTGTAGATCCTTGAAACAAGAAATCTTTTTTTACTTCCCATGTGTCCCAGATTAACATTATATCCACATTGCAGGTTTCTGAACTTGAGAGTTAAACTTATAATTCTGACCAATTTCTGTAAAACATTAAAAACCAATCTGGATTTGTGCCTGAGTATAATACGCACTTAATGACCGGCCCCAAGGAGAAACATTAATTAAGGGTTTTGTTATACCCCTGAACTCGAAAAAATCATTTGCTTGACGCCAGCAGGCTCACAAATTTGTTGCAGTTTCAAGGAGCGCAACCTGATCACGTGTGAGTTGAAAGTTCATTGTTGTTTCCCTGGGGAGTTAAGGAGTTTTGACCCGTAACACATGACAGGTTCTCCCTAAATCGGAAAATGTATTTGAGTTTGGAGGTATAACAAATAGGAATACTTTTACATAAGCAATACAACCTGCCGTTCTTTCTGAAAACATGCCCATGGACTGCTCAACTTTTGACAAAACCATCTTGTATTCCCTTGGAACCTTGACTTTATCTTTAACATCATTGGTGATGGTATCTCTGTCCTCTTTTTTGTTGTTATCTTTTTCTTCTTTTTTGTTGATATTTTCATCTTCTTTGTTGGCTAAAGCATCTGACAGTTTAAATGCAACCTGAAAAATTGGGCAGGAATGTAAGAAATTGTTGTAAAAATTGTTGACCAAACTACAAAACTTCAACACATTACCTAAAAGTAACAAACATATAAGTCAGAACAAACCTCATTTCTTTGAGGATTGCTGTTGACAAAGGTAGAAAAATTGCATAAGTTATATAAAAAGACAATACTCTTTGTCAATGTCATAAGTTTATGCTGAACATTGTGTAAGGAGTCAAACAAAAACTACCTCCATGAACTGTAATAATAATTGCTACGTTTCGTGGTACGCAGTCAGAATAACTGTTATTACTGATTGTACAGTATCGTCAAGGTGGAATTAACTTGACATGGACTGGGATAACAGCAAAATAATTATAGCTAAAACTGGGTCCAGCAAACCTACCAATGATAAAGTAATGGATTATTATAAATACCCTCAATATCTTTATATCTTGCCAATCTTGGCAAGATCTTACCAAACCCAACAAGATCTCGTTAGTCTCAAGGAGATCACTGAGATCTGGGCAAGCTTGGCCAAGATTCTAAAGGCACTTCAGATAAACTTTCTTAATCTTGCCAAGATCTCACCAATCTTGCTAAGATCCTTGACATCTTGGCAAAATCTTGCCCAAAATTTTCTTAATTGACGCTGTCTAGTGTTCAACCAGCAAATATATTTGATTCAAATTTAATATTGATTGATTTATTGTGTAGAAACACTATGAACCTCAATCAACCAACAGTGATCTACTGCTACCCACACCTTTTAGAAAATTAAGCAATGAAAGTATCAAAGAAACGCTAGCAATACGGACATGCACAAGATTGACAATGGCGGTCAATCAATCCATGGTCAATCGCAAGCATGTTCATTTTGATAGGGTTTCTTTTTTACTTTCATTGCTTAATTTTCTAAAGGCTATGTGAATACTTGATGATATTCCAACTAATTCTGTGATCGATTTTCTACAAACAAACCCTGCACTGGTTATCAAAGGAGAAGAGAGTTGGAAATCTAAAATGTGTCCACCATCTTGGAAATTTCAGGTAAGCTCAATTTACTACTGAGCTTGCATCAGTCCAATTGATGGTTCTGGGTTTTTATACATTTTCTTTTTCCCATTGATTTTATAGGGGGTCACTAGGGGGGGGGGGGGGGTGGTGGGAAAGATCAGTAGGGGGTCAGTGTTATGTAAAATCCCTGATGAAGATGAAGATTGGTTCTCAGTTGTCATCAACAGTCCTGTGACATTAATTAGCTGCACTCACACGACCAATCAGAATGTTACTTCTCATCATGGATCTTTCAACCATTTAGGTACATAAAAAACAAATAGGACATTATGAGAAAAGCACTTAGGGATGAATCACAGGAAAATAATATGATCATTTCTGAATTACTAAAACCACGTTCTTCTAAACATCTGTTTTTTTGCCTGTGTGTCTTCCGATCAGGACAGAAGGAACCCAGTACAGAACAAAAGTAACAAAGGCCTCAGCTCCAGTGTTGGCTGAAAATAACCCGTTTTCTTCTCTTTCTTACTTGGTTATTTGAAGGGACCCAACAATACCAGAAGCATCAGTATTTTCCATCCAAATATTGGACAAATATTTAGGAACCTGAGGAAAAACATCAGATGTTAACATTACAAATGAAATAGACAACTATTGAGCTTACTAAAATCACAATACACGGCCGTTGACCGGCTGATCACATTCGTACGACAGCTTGAAAGCTCTAAAATAGAGCTGTTTCACCTTCACAAGCCAAACTGCTCTTGATACACCAGAGCAGTCCACTTCTGATCCCATTTTTGACAGTTTTGATATTTTTCAATCCAAAGTCAAACTGCTTCCCTTTAGTGAACTGAAATGAAAACACGTCGTCAACTAATACGCCGTATAGTGATCACAAAGCGTCCTTGACAAGGACGATGCTGCTCACCTCGTTCCCAGGATCCAATGTTGTTCTCAGGGTTATTCCCAGGGTTTTCTCTAGGGAGAGAGATGACCTTGGGAACAAGGTTGAAGACCTTCTTCAACACAACCCCCAACAATCTTCTCGATGCAAATAAAAGCAATTTACGCAGACGCAGAGTGGCGCCTTTATTATGAAATTTTCCTAATAAAAGGCGCTAACTATCACCATCTTACTGCCGTGTATCTGTGAGGACTGTTTTTGCTTGTTCTTAAACTAATTATGCAATATGCGCTGATGAAAACCAGTCTCCATGAAAATAACAATAGCATTCCACCAACTGGAATGTGGTATTTTTTCCCTGGACTTTTCGCCACGTTGTTGAAGTTTTGTATTCAGAAAAACATCAAAGGTACAATACATTCCTTTCCAGCCATGGATTCTTACACCCATGAATGAATTTCAGTGCAGTATATAAAGAAGCGTCAAATGACACACCCAGTTTGGCGTTGGTCACTGTTGTACAGGGAAGGCAAACCAACATGCTTCTCGACGAGCTTTCCTTCAGTTAAGTTTATATTTTTTTTCTTTACCTAGCAGTTATCCATCTATATAATTGTTTAGTGACTTTTCGTTTCGCTACCCTTCTTTTAGCTTAACGATTCAGCATAGCATTCTGTTCTCATAGTTTAGAGCTACTGAAAAGTTGCCGCAGTAGCGTTGTTATACCATTTAGTTAACAGTTATATTTTCCCATGAGAAATAAGCTGATTCTGGTCGTTCCATATCTTATCAAGGTCGACTGTAATATTTATTTCATGTTATTCCTACAACAAACTGAAAGGCTTTTATTCCAACCTGGCTGTTTCGTTCGCGATTCCACTGTAGCTCAGGTTTGAAGCGCGGCGAAGATATAAGATTGTCATTCCACCATCACGATGGATGTTCAATAACCCTGCCAAGTAAATTCTCTAACCTGGGTTTTATTCCATTAAGAATGATTTAGAGGCACTCGAGATATTAAATAAGAGATAATTGAGGCGGTGCATTTTTGTTCCAGGTTTTTGCCTGTATGACCGTATTAAATGCCGTCAGTGTGTGTTTATGGAATTTCGCCACTGTTGAGCTAAAGGCTGCGTCCCAGAGGCTTCTTCAGACCGGTTTATAGGCAGTTAAGGTTAGTTTGAACTCGGTTAAGACATCTATCATTTCTCGGATAACTATTACAATCACTGTTGCTGCGCATGCCATTTATAACATAATCGTAAACATCATGTCCGCTTAAATATGAAACACAGCAAAAATGAATCAGTCAGCTCATTTTATGCATAGACTTCAGTGAAATGTAATGAGTTCACCCTCAATCTTGGCCAGTGTACCACAAAACGTTCAGATAAAAATAAAATTATGCGATTGTTTTGGATGGTAATCAATTGACCTGCTGACAGCACTCAAAAAAATTAAATGACGTAACAGGATTTGCTAACCTACATTGCTTTAATCATTTGTTGATTCTATAAGGACAGCAGAGAAGCTACTAAACGACTTGCATTGTCCCGAGCGGTTATTCTTCAGTTTTGGCGCCTTACACCGTAATTCAGTGCAAGTACGACCGATGTTAACTGCATAGTGGCTGTCCATCTTCAGGTTGGAAGCAAGTTTCCAGTGAAGTTCAGATAAGTCATCTGTATTTCTCCTCAGATTTGTTTCGCCGCGTATATATGATCTTAATTTTCATGGTCGGCTGTACTCGTGAATTTAATGCACAGCAAGATTGTATAAACTTGGTACGTTAGACATTCAATAGGCTTACTGAGAAAAGGGCGGGCAACAAATAGAGAAAATTCTTTTTCGCTGAAATAACTCTTAAGGGTACAAGGAGCGTCTTTCTTCTCTATTGAGTTTCGCTAACGAAGATCGATTCCTGTTTAGCTACATTTCCGAAAGTTCGTCCAGCATCTTAAAACTTCAAAATCCATATATCAAGGAGGAGAGCTGGGTGTGAGTGAGAGGGCTTACAACTGGATCAGTTTCTTTCTTTTTTTAACAGATAGATGGACCTATAACGTAAGGAGAGGGGAGGAAGGCTTGAAAACGGGGGGCTATGACCAGATTTTATGGTACCCAAAATGTAAAATGATTGAATGCAAGTTTTTCTCATAATTAACACTCAAAGAGTCATGTACTGCAAACGATTCGCCGACTAGGAGCCAATCAACGTTAACTGGAAAATCATTTTACCTCATCACCTAAAAAAAGTTAGGAATAAGTTCGTTCTATGCGGTTATTTCGAGGTAAAAATAGACCTGATCTTTAATTTCCCGGGATACAATGAATGTCTGGAATATGTTTCATGCGATGCTCTGCCGTCACAAACAACAGAGAGTCGGAATCACTTGTCACATGAGAACATCTTATATCGTTTTGTGGAGCAATAAGTTCATTGTGTCAATGGTAAAACCGTTTTCAGTGAGACGCTGGTTAATAAAGGCATTATTAGATTAGGCAATTTAACCCTGTGAATACCAAACTTTTGCCAAAAAATACCGTTTTTTAACCGTTTAGTCAGGTTTTTTAGCTGCCATGACGCTAAATAAGCCTAAGTTGTGCTAAAAAAGCTTTTTTTTTGCTAAAAGGAGAGCTTTTTCGAGGATTAGGT